GATAGATAGACCAACCTTAGGGAATTTAGAGAACAGGGAAATCTTTGATATACCTACTGGATTAAGTTCAGTCACATCCCATTCAAGGTACTCTGCAACATGCATCATCTGACTGATGATGTTCTCCAGCTCCTGGAGAAGATACAAAGAGACATGTAGAGTAAGGCAGTCAGACATAATACACGTTGGTTGAAAGTTCTCCATCTGTGACTTATAGGAATTGTCTTATTCAACATGTAACTCAAAAGAAAAGGGACGATATATAATATATATATATATTTAAAACATAAAAAATAATTTGGATAGATCTTTTATGTTCTCATCAAGTGCACAAGAAAAAACAAAACTAAAACTAAAAAATAAGCAAATTGCCATCAAGCCCCCATATGAAAGTGAAACTGTGTCCCAGAACACAAGATTTTCAAGGCTGTGATCTTCCAAAGCAGATCTTGAGGTCTTTCTTCAAAGATCTTTGGGGGAGTTTGAGCTGCCAACCTTTTGAAGTGTAAGCAAGCACTTAACCCATTGCTGACTGCACCCTGATCCTCCTGTGTAGGAAACAGGAGCTTGAATATAAATTCATGTTGCACATTGTCTTGAAGTCGTCGCCAGGAGAGGGTGCAATAATGCAAAGAAAGATTTTCCTCTACCGGAAGGAAAGAAGGTCTGATTTAGTAGGAGCCTACGTGTTCCCACCAACTGCTATTTTTTAAGTCACTCACTCTCCTGACCCAGGGTTGGAAAACAGGTGTGGAAGGGTGGAAGGAAGTGTTTGAGGACAACTGAGAGGTTTATTTTTGTTTTGCTTCTAAGAACTATATCAACTGTTATGGCCTTTTGGGGGGATAGCTTGTTCTGCATGAAAAGTGTTCAGGGTCAAGGTCTGGAGGCTAAGTATATGCAGAGTTTATTTTTTGAGGAGATGGGATTTTGAATTTTCATATGAGTCTCCTCAGATGCCAAGTCTTTGAAGAACTGCTAGTTAATACATGACTTGGCTAAACAAATTAAAACATTGCCTATACATATTTATTTAATAGTTTGAGTTTGCTTATCTCTAGAAAAGATGATGCATGACTTTTTAAAATGCTGGTAACTTCAAAATTGGTTAAATAAATAAAGTGAATCTTTCTAGCATGACTAAAATATAAAAAGAGTAAGAGAATAGGGTTGAACATGTATTAGCTGCTTTTATGATATCTCCTTCTACATCCCCCAGGTAGTAATAACTATATATATTAGACAGAGAATTAACCTTTCTTATGTTTCAATTTCCTTATTAATAAAAAGGGGTAGTCTAGGTTTGTCTATTCCATGAAAGTACCATAAAGATTACACCTGTTGATATAGAAAGTATGTTTAATTTGGTGTTTGGCACATTGTAAGTTACAAGTAAACTTTAGCTACTATTATTAGATATGGTGCTCATTCTACAAATTATCAGTTTTCACTTGGTTTTGCTTCTAAATGGTGAGCTTTCTCAATTTAATATTTCCAGAACAAACATTCCAAAAGGTGTAATTTTAACCTGATATTTAAGAGAACATACTCTTGAGTGGATTTGGGGCTCACACTTAATCATAGCCCTAATCAAAGAGCCATTGGCTCTTAAGACATGGCCCTACTTGATAGCTGACCTCATGGAGCAATCGCTGAAGAGAGGAGTGCTTAGGAAACTGTGGTGAAGGAGGAAGAGGATGCCTGCGCATCAGAAAGAACCGAGTCTGGGAGAGCAAAGCCTTCTCCCAGCCATCTAAGTGAGGCATCAACTATGGTCACACAGAGGAAGCACAACAGCCTGTGTGATCCAAGAATTAGAAATGATACAATCCAAATCTGGACAGAGGAATGGTATTAGAACGTAAATTCTAATCACCCATTTTGCAAAAGACCATGGAAGAGGGCAGAAGCGCCCAGTCCCTTTGTGGTGTCTGCCACTTGGCTGCAGCCCCAGGAAACCCTCTCTGGCCACGGTCCGGAGACGTGAAGAGGTTTGCTCTCAGCAAGAAAGAGCTGTAAAGTCGGTCATGGCCGAACTAGCTAGGTTAAAATGTAGAACTTTGTCATTTGTCTCCCTTTGATCCATTTTAAATTTGTTCCAGTTTTTACTATTTCCTGCTTTCTTTTTGATTGAGGATTTTTCGGTTGTTGTTGGGTTTTTTGCCGTGGTTGTTGGCTTGTTGTTTTGTTGTTGCTGCTGATTTGCTTGTTTCCTGATTTTGGTTTCTATGAACCAATTATCTAGGGACTTGGTCGGGTACGTTGGGGGATATGGGGATCTAACCGAAATGACTACAGGAAAGGAGAAAATGCGCTAAAATTTAGTGTGGTGACAATCACACAACCCGCCTTAATATAATTGAACTATCGAAATGTATGGTATGGAAATTACATGCCAATACAAAACGAGAAACAAAGAAAACACACTGGGTGAGAGACGGTATGGACAACACTTTAGAAATTAAACCCAGGATTTTATGATTGAAAATGAAACTAGTTTGACCATATACAAGCATATTTATGTATTCACAGCTCAATTTTCAATAATGGGAATATAGTCATAAATACTCCTAGTGATCTAGTAGACATGAAAGGGGGGGCGGGGCAAAGAGCAACACAAAAACATTTGACTGAATTCCGAAATCATTTGTCAGTCCAGGCATAAAACCTAGTAAAGAAACATCTTTTTGATTTAGCTAAAAAGAAAAACTAAGTAAAATATACCTTTATTGTAGTGTAATACATTTGCTTTAGTGTAAGAAAGATAGCATTTTGAAACATTTCAAAGAAATATAAATTCCTTCCTGTGGAATGTTGTCAGGTAATGAGCTAATTTATCATGTGACTTAATATTCCTAAATGGAAAACTAAAGACTACCAGTCACTTAGAAACAATAGCACTTCAAAATTACAGAGTTAATCATAAGAAATCTCACAATCACAGCATCAATTTACTTTTATCTCTCACTAGGGAAACTGATGTACCATTATCTTAAGCATTGTTTCATAAAAAATGTCTCCAACTCTATGGCCAAGGACGCAGTCACTGTCAGGGGGAATGGTTATTTGAATCAATATTGAATGTCTCAAAACACTTTTAATGAACCTATGTGTTAGAAAATTTCTATACTGACATTTGTTCATTCATAGGCTTATCTGTCCTGCAAGAGGACAAGGCATAATCTAAAATACCCACTGTTTTGGGAGCCAATAAGATAAATGCCTTGATGGAAACTGAGATGGGTTTAAGAGGGACTTATTCATTTGTGCTCCAGAAGTTAGTGTCTAATTTGACCGTCTCTGGAAACTGTGAATAATTTGCACTTATTTAAATTAAAAATCACTTCATTACTCTTGTTACCTAAATCACAGGACAAATTTTAAAACGTGATTAATCTTTTCATCCTGCACACATGGCACTTTTCTTCTATGATGTTTACAAATAAATGAACAGATAAAGAACACCTTGCATGCAAAATTGAGTGAGACACTTTTGAAAGGAATTGTTTGAAGCAATCGCTAAATCTATTTCAGAACATATATGACTGAAAAGAGGAAGAGAGGAACTAGGAAAATAAGTAAATTGATGCAAATTCCTTTAACTACTACTTATATTCGCATTTTCCTTAGTGTTGAATCTCACTGATAGCTTCCCCACCCCGCTTGCTCAATGGGCTCACATTTATCTTATGTTTTACTCGGGCTGAGTTGGAATCTCTGTTTTTTATCTAAATTCAGGATAGAAGAAGGAGTGATGGCTCTGTAGCAAAACTGTTCACTAGAACAGTCCTGATGCGACCAGTTCTCACAGGTCACTCTTCATTCCAAGAGCTAGACGGTAAGAACGCTGGATGAGTACATGGAAATTACATTGAGTGTGGCTTCTGTGGTAATAGCTATAAATTTATTCATTGCATCTTTCAGAAGAAACGACTGAAATTTTCACAGAAAATTGGAAGAAAAAATTACCGAACTGTCCAGGTAGCCATTTCCATCTGTATCATAAAGCCGAAACATAACTAGAAATAAAAGAGATATTGAAAAAATGTTATAGACGAAAAGGTCAATGATAGTTTGAGAGATACTTTAACTTTTTCTATTTCTAGTTGAAACAGCTATTAAATCCCTTCCCTCCTCTAAGCAATAAATTTATAGTAATATTCCTCAAGTTCAAATGAAAATGAATTAAACTACTGAAAAATACTCTTGTTCGGTCAAGCTCATTATTAAAATGTAACTAAGTGCAAACTCATAAATAACTGGAGTAGTCTAGACACACTGAGTCACGCTATTAAAAGGCAAAATGGAGAAGAAAACAAAATTGATTCAGAGTAATAGAAATAAATTAAAATCAGAAAACTGCTGCCAGCTCTGTAAGCACTCTTTACTTCTCTATGAAATGAGAATAGAATCAGTCCTGCCATACAACACACATGTATTGTGAAAATTAAATGAGGGCCTACATAAACATGTATATCACATCCATAAAGCAGTTTACAAATGCTTGGGGGAAGAAAGCAAAATATGAAAGGAAGGAGTCTTACTGGTGGCGGAGACAAGAACTTAAAATGCTTTATTACAGGGGTTGCAATCATTTATTTGTTTGACCCTCAGATGAAGCCTCACAGGATAATGAACCTTTGAATGAATACAGAATGGGACAGGAAGAGGGTGGCCGGCATAGTGAGCCCAGTAAAGCAGGATGGCCGTCGTCCACGGCTGCCCTGAGGATCTCCTTGTGTAATTCACACACCACCAGGAGCCTCGGGAAGAGGCTGCAGGTGCCGTTGAGATAGGGAAGATGGCACAGCTGTAAAAATAGAGGAGGTGGAAGTGAGGGTTTGTGTTGTTTGCCTTAGTTCCGGGAGAACCCTGATGATGTCCTGAAGTTTGTAACAGTAAAAAAGAGGCATTGGTAACTAGGACACATTATTATGCAATGAATGACCTGGTTTGTATATTTATAACTGATACTTTGTTTATATCATACCGATTTTTATCATTGTTATAAGAAGCCAATTTGGTCTGTAGATCACTAAAAGGCAAAAGTGTTGCCCGTTAAACTATGATCTTATATTTTTAAAATGTAGACTTATTTTAAAGGTGTCAAAATGAGAAGGCAGAAAATGGGTCCCTAAGAATTGAAGTAAGGTAAATGTATTAGGGCAGATGAATTGTTCAGATATATTTATTTCAAACCATAAGGTTTTTTCTCCCTCTTATCTTCAGCAAATGAGGATAAACTGCAGCATGAAGGCTACGACAATGTATATTCTAAGCATTTCAAAATGCTCTAGAGTCAGCAGCAAGCGCTAAAAATAAATATCTTTGTGCGTGGTCATAAACCATAGCATGTTCAGAGAAGGGGACCCCAAGGAACCAGGCAAAGACGTCCAGCAGCATCCCTCTGGTTCATTGTGAGGGAGGCTGTGCTCAGCTGCTCACGCGCGCTGGAGGGAATCGTTGCTAAATTATTTCATGTAATTCGGAGCTGTGAAATCCTATGTCTGTTAGTAGACCTTGTGGGTCATACGTGCATGAAGACAAACATGCAGTGGGTGGTGTGGGTGTCTAGCTCACTCACTCATTCACTGACCCCTAATCCAGTCTGACTCACAGCTGCCCAGAACAACAGATTGGAACCATTCTGATGAGTTCCCGAGACTGTAAATCTTTGGGGGAGTAGAAAGCCTTATCTTTTTTTTCCACAAAGTGCTAGGTGGTTTCAAACTACTGACCTTGGGTTTCACGGGCCAAACTTCAGGCCATGACACTGCCAAACAACAAACTTCCTGACCAAGTGCCATTAAGTGGGTGCCAACTCAGAGCAACCCCTTCGGACAGGGTGGAACTTCTTTCCCTGTGAGTTTCTGAGACTGTAGGCCCGGGGGAGTAGAAAGCCTCACCTTTCCCCCAGCATCGGAAAATCCGACCTGTGTTGAAAAATCCAACACTTTTCTGAAGCTCAAGAGAAAATGAGCGTGCCAGACGTTGCACATGACATCGCTCCCAAATCATCAAGTGTGGGAGCCACAGGTAAATAGAGGACTGCACCAAACTCATACTGGTGAAAGAAAAGAACAACCACAACTGTCGCCCTTTCCAACAGGCCCCCAAAGTACTAATGTTGTTGCTGTCAGGAGACAGCACCTGTTGCTGGGCCATCCTCAGAATTGTTCTTCTGTTGGAGCCCATGGTGGCTGCCTTGTGGCCACTCATTTTGTCACGAGTCCCCCTCTTTGGCAATGCCCATCTATTTTGTCTAGCATGAGGTCCCTTCCTAGGGACTGGTCCCTCCAATATGTCCAATATGTCCAAAGTTTGTGACATGAAGTCTGGCCATCCTTGCCACTAAGGAACTCTGGCTGTTCTTCATGGAAGATAGATTTATTTGTTCCTTTGGAAGTTCATGATATTTTCAATATTCTTCACCAACACCACAATTCCTGTGAATTTATTCTTCTTTGCTCTTTCTTATTCATTGTTCAACTTTCGCATGCATATGCGGCCATGGGAAATGCCATGACTTGTGGCAGGTGCACCCTAACTCAAAATCAGAGCCTTGCGTGTGAACACTTTAAAGAGGTGTGGTGCCACACGTTGCTCCAATGCCGTGGGCCATGTGAGCTCTTGAACACTGCTCCCAGGAACACTGACTATCAATCCAAGCAAGAGAAAGTCTTTGACAACGGACATCTTTTCTCTGTTTTTTATGATGCTACCTATTGGTCCAGTTGTGAGGACTTTTTTACATTGAGTTGTAATCCATATCGCAGGCTGAAATTCTTGATCTCCACCAGCAAGTGTTTTAAGACCTCCTCAATTTCAGCAAGTGTATCATCTTCACATCCTGGGTGGTTAAAAAACCTTCTGCACTCATCTTGATATGATCCAGCTTCTCTGATGGTTGGCTCAGCATAGGGTCTGGATAAGTGTGTTGAGAGGGAACAACCTTGATGTATAGCTTTCTGGATTTCAATCCATGGAGTGGTCCTTTGTTGATCCCTGCACAGGTTCCTCATGAGCAAAGTGTTGTGTTCTGCATTTCTTATTCCTCTCAAGGTTTGTCATGGTCCACACAGTTAAGTGTCTTTGCATATTCGATGAAACACAAGTAAACATATTTTTAATATTCTCTGCTTTCAGCCAAGATCATCAGCCATAATATTCCTTGTTCCATGTTTACTTCTGAATTGGATGTGAACCTCTGGCATTCCCTGTCAATATACTGCTGCAATTGCTGTTGGATGATCTTCAGCAAAATTTTACTTGTGTGCGATATTAATGATTATCTTCTGTTGTTTGAGCATCTTGGGGTCACAATTCTTTGGAATTGGCACGAATATGGACCTCCTCCAGTCATTTGGCCAAACAGCTGTCTTCCAAATGTCTTGGCATAAATGACTGAGTGCTTCCAGTGCTTCATTAGCTTGCTGAAACCTTGCAATGGATAATCCATCAACTCCTGGAGCTTAGATGTTGGCTAATGTATTCAGTGTCACATGGAATTCTTCCTTCAGCACCATTGGTTCCTGCTTGTCTGCAACCTGCTATATGAAGGACTCTCTACAGTCCTTGCACGCACAGTGACGGTGTAGTCTTCCTGTCTTCTTTTGAGGCTTCCTGCACTGTTTAATATTTTGTCTATAGAATATTTCAATATTGCATTTTGAGTCTTTGGGCCAATATTATATGGAAAAACACAAATATACAAGCATAAGTACACCAAAACATGGGTAATACCTTTGTGCTAAAAATTAATCACTAGTGGTCGAAATTGGAGAAAACCTTTACAACAGACGTGCATCTTGTAATCAAGGATTTTGAACAATGTAATATTAAAATGCTAATTTCTCAGGAATTATTCTACAATACGAATGCAATCTCACCAAGTCAAAGTTAAAGGTAAAGGAGAACAGCTTTTCTGGATTTGAACTATGGACAAAAATGTTATCCTCGGATATGGGTTTCCAGAAAAAAATGTCTACTTTCTTAGTATCAAATTACCATAGGGTCATACAACAGAGAAAACACAGAGCTACTTTGGCTTTCTGTAGTAAAAGCAAGGGATAAAACAGACAGGAAACAACTCACACACACACACACACACACACACACACACACACACACGCCAGAGAAGAAAACATTAGTAATTTTAGAAAAGCATATTAGAGTTAGTAACTGACTTATAAAACTAATGAGGAAATGATGCAGGGACCATTTTGACCTCTTCTGATGATACAAAAGAAACTGGGAACCCATTTGGTTCTGAACTGTCCTTCCGCGATCAAGCAGGTAATTTTGATATAGGTAGGTAGGCAGTTACATGATATGGATGAAATGAAAAGAAAATTGTAATCTGTGCAATAAAGAATAAGAGGAGTTAAGGGGGAACAAATCAGAATTTCTGTACAGAAAACAAACAAACAAATTGATCTTCTGAAATTAAAAATGCGGTAGAAAAAGTTAAAAGCAAAAAAAAAAAAAAAATCCATTACAGGATCTTCCATCTGGTCCAGATGTTGAACAAAAGACAGTATAAATAAAACCTACCCCCGTGATGTCAAGTCAACTCCATTAAATACCACAAGTCAGCAGTAACCCTACAGGACAGAGAAGAACTACATGCGGTTCTGAGTCTGTGACAGATGGTATAAGAAAGGTGGAAATGGGAAACACTAGTCTGTGGATTTTTTCCAGAACAGTCACCATCTAGATAATAAAGGCTCCAGAAAGGTAGAAGAACCAAAATAAAGGATGTAGACGAGGTAATTATTGAAGGAAATACTTAAACCAGATGAGAAATACAAATTTCCAAATCAGAATTATGGATAAATCCAGTATGATAAGAGTTGGCAAAGAGGTAAAAAGACCCCTCCACACAATACACACCACCACAACAAACCAACACACTATTAGAAATTGACTCAAATAAGAAGTCCTTAACCCATTGCCATCAGTTAGATTCTGACTCATATCAACCTTACAGGACAAAGTAGAATCAGTCCTCGGGGTGTCT